TGACATTTACCAGAGATGTATTGCTTTACCTTGCGGTTCACATTAGTATCTCCAAGATCTCATGCTTGACTATGATTTTGGCATCTTTATTGAACTTTCATTAACAAATGCAAGAATTACCTGCTTCGGCAGCGCCTAAATATAGAGTTTTGTGCGAGAATGGTACATAATTGAACTGCTCTAGAGCTTGTATAAGAGTAGCTTCACAGTTAAATATTGAATACCACAGATTACTGTAGAATCAAACATATTAATTTTACGTTATAGTACACGCAAGACTTCTCGTAATCACAATCACATACATACTCTTTTCCTCACGTTTTTCCGGGCCGATACTAGGGGTGATAATTTTCAATGAAATTTTTTTGAGAGAATCATTCAGATATAAGCTTATAAGCATTCTTGACATATACTTTTGGAGGCAAGACCTTTGATATTATGTGACTTTGTTTGAACGAAGGTTCGGTTTCTAGGAGGGAAGTGAGTCCAGTACAAAGGAAAGACAAACAACAGACCAGCAGGTGGATATGTCAACCGCGAGAGAGACCGAAAGATGGCCTATTGAAGCTGTACCTGACGAGTTGATAACAGACGTCGCACCTGTGCAGCTACAATGTTGGAGTGAAGAGGTGAAACCAGAACAACTTCATATGGCGCAAGAACTTGTGGCGACGCAGGAGATATCTACCGCAAAGGAGGGTGAAAGGTCCGAGCGCATCAAGGTTAGTGATTTGTTGCGTGCAATTGAGTTTTAGAATAAAATCTCATCATTTCAGGAAACAAGGATTGTGGAAACTCGCGTGATAGAAAAGATAATAAGAGTGGGTTTGTAAAGTTTGGAGAAAATTAACTAAACTAGAAAGGTAAAACCAAAAATTTCTATCTACAAAAAATTTTTACTTGAAAGAGAACTCCAGAGATTACTGTCAAGTCTTGAATTACGCACGCTACTTGTTCCCTGCACACAGTATTCACTAAGACCCCTTCGATCCAATAAGTATGGCAATACGCACTCCTAAATATTGATTTCCAATTGTAAGAAGAAGAGGAACACTAGATTACTGATTTATACAGAAAGGGGGAAGAGGGTAGGGAAGCGTCGGCCACGCATCTACCTGCAGCTCATCTGATGATAAGCGCTTTCCGTATGGCTACGTATCAACTCGATGATTTTTAGAATTTAATTCTAGCTTCTTCACGCCATAAGATAAACCTTTTAAAACTGACTTATCGTTTCCAAATCAATTGATTTCTACCCAGAAATGCTTTATCTTGTGGCGCTAACATTTGATGCCTCCAAAATCTACTTTGATTATGAGTTTGACATATAGAATTTTCATCAACAAAGGCAAGAATTATCTGCTATAGGTAGATAAAGAGCTTTGTACGAGCATGATGGATAGTTGAAATTGCAGACTGTTCTATAGCTTCGAATAAGAATAGCTTCACTGTGAAAATGTTGTATATACAGATTACTATAGAGT